GGAGACGCCAAGATGCGGATGAGGGTGTCTTCAGCTTTTGGGTTCCATGCTCCCTTGAGGCCAGTAGGCTTCAAGTCGGCAGACCGCTGAATATTGTGAATCAAAGTTCCCAAAGTGGTTCTGTCCAACGGTTGCCGAGTGGGATGCACACCAATTTCTCCGGTGCTAATGCCATCCCACAAGGCTTTCATGTCGAGCAGGTATGTCACTGGGTCCTTCAAATTAAGGACCAGGTTCGCCTTGTCATTGGAGACCGTGACTTCCCCAGACACATGGAATGCCATGAAGCCGGTTTTTGGATGCAAAAATGCCTTTGAGAATAACCGGCTGCTCCAGAAACGGTGAAGACTTCAATACTTAGAGAATTCCAGAAAATTTTAAAATATTTCAAAATTTTCTCAGAAGTAAGAAGTAAGAAGTAAGATTGCACAGAACTCTCCTAGAGAATCTTACTTCTTGCTTCTTACTTCTGAGAAAATTTTAAAATATTTTAAAATTTTCTGTAAGTACTGGAAAGTTTACGTCCGCCATTTCCGACTAGTGCTGAAATCTTAGGATTTTAGGATTATATATATATATATATATGGTACCCCCACAATCCCTGCAAATACCAGTAAATGTTTAAAAAATATGGACATTTGGGGGGGGTGGGGGTACCATATATATACAGTATTCATGGTTTTCCTATGGTTTTCCAGTGTTGCAGTGTATGGCTTTCGGGCTCCCCGAGGAGGAAGTACTGAGGTTCCAAAAGGCAATCGCTACAACTGCACTGCCATTCCACATTGGAGCATTCAGCAGTTCAGTGAGAAGGCCATTCTTTGTTCGATCAGGGTTCCAAGTTTACTAGGGGAATGACTCCCATCAAATGCCTGAGATCTTCGATCAGCCCCGTCAGCCAATTGTTGACACAAATGTCCTCCGGTGAAGTATCGTAAAGCAACATGAAGCATCGAGGACAAAGGTAGAAAGAAAGGTGCCCAACCTCTTCACTCATTTTTAAAAGAAACTAGAACTTTTGGACAGCCTGTGGGCAGCCCGGCAACAGACTGGCGCAGTTTCCCCATCCTCCGTGGCCGGCTTTGGGCTCCCCCGCTGCCAGAAGTGTGACTCCACGACCCGGCCATTCATGATGACCTGCAGCAGATCTGCATGGCAACAAAAAAAGCCGAATGGCAGAAGAGCTCCGGTTTCGGCCATTCCACAGGTTCTTCTTCATGGACACTACAAACTTCAGTATGTGTATATATATATATATATACACCCACACCCTGTCAGGCAGGTACACCCATTAGTCATTCCTTGTTTAGAACGCAGTGAAAATGTTTCTGAGATGCATTGTGTGGATGCTACAATGGCTGAAAAAGAAGGTTAACCATAAAAAGACTGCACCACTGGTCTATAAATTGAGGTTTGGCAGACCCAAGTCACTCAAGCAGTTTCTTTGGTCATATGACTCCTATGACGTCGCCTCTTGGCTCAGAGATGCCAATCAATTCGATGCGGTTCTTCCATGGACTCTGGACCCAACCAAATACACCACATAACTCACACTCGGAAGAAGAGCTCTTCTTCACCCACTGTTTGGCATTCGGAAACAATCCTCACAGAACCCAAGCCATCAAGCCATCCACTTTCATGTGGAAAGCTGCACCCAATCTGCAGCCTCCGTGCTGGTCTTGCTGGCCTTCTCCTTCACCTCGCACCATCAAAGCATCCTTATTTGGAATTATTGTACTCGTATATACATATACATATATATATATGAAATACTGTATTGTAGATTTCATTCTGTACATTGCGGTATGGTCATAATATCCAGGCTGACAACATCCGGGCCTTTTCAGTTCGATTTCGACACGTTGTCTTTGTGGTGACTTTCTGTGTAAAAGCAATGAATATTCAAACAACCACTCATGTCCCAGGACATATTCCAGGCATGGTAGAGACGGACGGATGGATATGAGCTCACTCTATCCAGGAAAAAGATACGATTTCACACAAAAGAAAGAAACAAACCAAACTGCCCAAGCATCTTCGCCACCCCAACGATCCTTCTCGACCCCCTATTGCACCCTCTTTGGGTTTAACGAGGCGTTCGCCTGCCGTGCAACGTCTGTGCTTTCTCCAGAAATCCATGAGAGACGCGCGACGTGCACGACGTCTTCTAACACCAGGAATGCAGTGGATTCTATGTTTTTTGCTTCGAGGTGCTCGCCACACAGAGCTAGATAGCTACGCAGAGCTGAGCAGCTGAGCACGGTGCAGTACAGTTCCCTTCAACTTGGTCGCAGTCACAAGCATAGAAGGAGCTCAGCCAACTCAGCTGAGATGTTTCTTCATGGATTGTAGGGGGAGGCTGAATTTCGTTGATGGCGACACAACGAGGGTGAGTCTGTGCGTGAGTTGGCCCAAATACCGCTCGAAAATAGGTCCAACGTCTTTTAAACTCTGATCATTCTGCCCTTCCCATCCACCACAGGTGCTGAGTCCAAATTTCTGGTCTTCAGGATCTTCCTGCACACCATTCCTAGATCGCATCGTTCTCTCCTCCGGGAAATAGGTGTTTGAGCGGTGCCTGGGACCAGATCTCCTCTGCCTCTAAGAGCTCCAAGGACAACTCTTGAAGCTCCTGGAGCCATGCGGGGAACTGTTTCGTGTGGTCTGTGATTCGAATATGTGAGTCTCTAGGCCCTATAGGCCCTATAGGCCCTTGTGTCTCATCTACAGGGTGCTCATCACTTGGAGATATATCACCATTCAAAGATATAACATGGTACAACATCATTCGTCTGCTGGTAGCGTCCTTGTTCCTAGTAGGCAACCAAGAAAGGATCCTAAGCCTTGTTGCCCGAGGCTGATGGACGGCCTACCATGACCTCCGCTACTAGGGGCTCCTGGCATCGCTACTAGGAGCAAAGGA